AACATTTTTATAAGAATCACTCAAAGATATAAGCGTATGTCTTAAAGTTAAGAAATGGAAAAAAAGAATGATGTTTTAGGCTTAAGAATTTGTTCCTGTACAAATCTGTACGAAATAGGGTATCACATATTTTATGTTTTACTGAGTGGACATAAAAATTGATGTTGGATCGCTGAGTGAGATGTTGGACCTGTCGATGAAATGTTAGACGGCTTAAGTCACGTTATGGGCGGACCTTCATCTCATTTGCTTTCGTTGGTGATAAACAGTGATGGATATAAAGTTTAAATCACGGAACGCAGTACAAGATACATGTATGTAAAAAAAAAAACAATAAAAGGTATTTATAAAAACATTTATTGAACGTGTCCCCGGGCAAAATGAGTTTTGTCGAATGCATATTGCTCCCGAACTCGGTCAATAAATGTATAATATTTCTCGTACATGTATACAGTTACTGTAGTTAATCGTTTCGATTTAAAGCGCATAACTTTTAAAGACGGTCGTACATGTAATAACCAAACTTTATAAACGACTAAAAGGATTATGATTTAAGTTGTTATAGAAAATGATTTAATGTGCATGTATCTGAAGACCTGTGCTCGCTGGTCTGAAAAAAAAGTTGAATGGACCACAGTCACCATAAAACTACATGGTCAGTTCTACAGTTAGTGTGCATGTCGGTGTGGCTCGCTAGCTTTTGGCTAGAAGCTTTTCTTATTTTATTTTAAAAAACAATATTCCAACAGAGAATTCGAAGTAAGTTCATGTTATCATAAAACAAAATTGTAGATGTATTGTTATGATATATGCAGAAATATAACCAGAATCTACGAGTATGGAGCAGACCGAATTTAACCTTAATTAGATTTAACAATGTCAAGGTTTTACCGTTTCTCTTCACAACGTTGAGTATGAGAGGTGTAATTTCACAATTATAAAAAAAACTTGACGTTGTTTAGATAAATCGGTTGGCAAATAGATGAGCATAATAGGAACTTGTACTTAATTTAACCCCCTTAGTAAATAAGGAGCAAAAGGTACACTGTACATGAACCACACGGTTTATTCATTATTAAAAAGCATGTTGAATCTCGGAATAGTAAACAGGTTTTTTTTCATCTTGAACAGTGTGACACAGCAACTTCCATGGAGCAGATTAAAAACAAAACAAACCTTTTTACCTCTTTCCTTCCTATATATATCTTATATATACATTGTACTTTACAAGGTATTCTTGAAAGTTGAATTAACCCCCCCCCCCTCCCTTCCACATGTCATCATTTTCGGTAGTTTGCTATATCAATTTTGCTTTTGAAAATACAATCAAAATAATGGAACAAACAGGGTGCAGCCCCCTTGAAGGACAGGTCACGGTAAAAATTATTTTTAGGAGGGGGCAGTCTTACCAATTAAAAAAATGAAATATCAGGGGCGTAGCTACATTGGGGGCCGGGGGGTGTGGTCCACCACTTTTCTCCAACCTTACTTCTACTAGAGGAAATGTTAATTGAAAGACTGATCCATCCACCCCTTTAGTGATGTACCGAAAATGTAGTATTAGAATTGGTACTAAAAGTAGATCCACTGAGAAAAATCCCCCCCCCCCCCCCCCCCGAAATAGGATTTTCGACTTTGGGAAATTTTCTTCTTCTTTTTTTTTTTTTTTTTTTTTTTTGATTGTCAACTTTTTCAGGAATGTATTTTTTTTCTTTGGCTGCCCCCCCCCCTCACACACACTTTCAAAAACGATGCTTCGCCATTGTATATTTCATATGTTCTATGGTCTATATGTAGTGGAACGCATTCCGTTTTTATCAGCTCCGTTTTTGTCCGCATTCGTTAAGTCATTGTTTTTACACCACTGTATACTTTTATGTTAGGCAATCGAGCGCCAAATTTCTTCGAGCCTTGTCTCGATCGTTTTTGTCATATTTTCTGCACTTTGCAGCCCTAACAATGTAAGTAATAAGTAATAATAACTTATAGAAACTTTGTATATCAGTTTTGGCAGTGTAAGTGAATTTATTACAGTATTCTAACGATAAATAGTAATTGTTTACATCTGTGTATTCACATGTGTGCATTTTCAGTTTGCATTGATATCACACCTTTTGATGTTTCTTTGTTTATTGTTTGTAGCTCTTACGGATTTAATAAACCGTTAACTTTCTGTTGGGAACTTGCAATTCTTTCGAAGTCGGCGACAGAACAGTAAGAGATTGAGTCCACGTGCAAAGTATGGCGGCCCAGGAGGACCCAGCGTTAGAATTCCAAGACGATCCCTCCGTTCCCGAACTTGATGAATTCGGTCGACGGATCCGAAAGCTAACCGAAAAGGGCTTGGAGAGATATCAACTACATCGCAAACGATTTGATTCTCAACTGAAAAAATTATCAGAGAAAATTCAAACCGAGTTACTCTCCTTTGCCACGTCAAAAACTGAAACAACCATAATAACAGAAGCACGGAACACCATTGACAAATTGTACAGTGAATATAAAACTATCTTTAGAAGATTCATGGCCTTTTTGGAAGGAGCCAGTACTGTTGATAGCGTGAAGGAGATAGAGGAAAGAAAGAAGGATTTCGAGGCACTAACAGCCAAAGTGAACAGCGCCATGGAGAAAGCAGAAGACATTATCAGACTCTTGAACAGTGACTCTTCGTCAAGAAGGAGTGGAAGTCCTTCGAGCATAAGAAGTGTAAGATCACAACATAAAGTTTCATTAACTAAACTCAGATTCGCTGAAGAAGCAGCTGAACTCAAGCTGAAGGAGGCAAAGTTAAAGGAAGAGGAAATGGTCGCTGCAGCCAATCTTGAACGAAAGAAAAGTGAGATTAAGACTCAAATGGAGGTAATCAAAATTAAGCAAGAGGTAGCAGAGGTAGAAGCTGCCCTAGATGGGCACATAGAGGATAACATCCTACAAGATCTACCATCCATTACAAGTCATCAAAAAACTAAAGACTTTGTCGAGTGGAATACATGTACTACCTCAGGCTTCAACCTTAATCCAGAAGCAGAACCATTTCCAAGGCCAACTACTCAACATGTAGTAATACAGAACAATCAAACAACCTCTGACTTTCACAAATTTCTTCTCAAAAAAGACCTTATTATGAATCGTTTCACTAACTTTAATGATGATCCGGCAACATACGACAACAACGGTGTGGAAGGCTTCATTCAAGAGTGTTGTTGATGACCTTAACGTAACGCCTCAAGAAGAAACTGATCTGCTTGTGAAGTGGTTAGGCAAAGAATCATCTAAACAAGCCCTCAGCTTAAGAACCGCTAACATTCACAATCCTGTGAGTGGTCTGAGGCGTATATGGGATAGACTCGACGAGAGATACGGAGCTCCAGAACTGATAATGAGTACCCTACACAAAAAGATAGCGGGATTTCCACGTCTGCAATTTCCCAGAGACACACGCAAGCTCTACGACTTGGTTGACATGCTCTCAGAAATTCTCTGCCTTAAAGAAGATCCGAAATATGCTGCATTGCTGTCATTCTATGATACTTCTGTAGGAGTGAACCCAATCCTTTCCAAGCTTCCACCTTTCCTACAGAACAAATGGATGGACCGTGCAGTAAAATATAAGAATGTGAACAAAGTTACATTTCCTCCATTTTCTTATTTCTCCTCTTATATTGGGGAAATGTGTTCAACACTCAACGACCCAAGCTTCGCCTTTGAACAGTCACGTGTGACAGACCCTCACCTGCGACCTCCTAGGGAGACTCAAAGACAGTTATTTGTGTCCTCTAAGAAAACAGACTTAAAACCCGCATGTCCTCTGCACCCTAAGTCTATGTCACACTCCTTGGGGGATTGCAAAGTGTTCGGAAAAAAGACCATGGAAGAGAAACTGAAGTTTTTAAGGGAACAGAAGGCATGTTTTAGATGTTGTGGGACAGATCACACCAAGAGAGACTGCAAAACCTCAGTGAAGTGTGAAGAATGCAACGATTCGTCGCATATGACTATCATGCATGTACCGAAGTCTGACACAAAACCACCATCCGATAGGAAAGTGAACAGTCCTCATGGCGGGGAGCAAACTTCCACCCCAACTGTTAGCTCTTTATGCACTGCCATATGTGGGGAAGGCTTCAAAGGACGCTCTTGTGCCAAAACCCTAGCTGTTAGGATACACAGTCCCAGCACCCCGGAGAAGCAGGAAATTGTATACGCCATGCTAGACGAGCACTGTAACCGCACTCTGGCCAGCCCAGAGTTGCTTGATGCCCTTGGAGTCAATACAGCAAAGGCACCATACACACTGAGCTCTTGTTCGGGAAGCTGTCAGATGGTTGGAAGAGTCGCCCGTGACCTCATTGTCCAACCTATGGACCGGAGCTGCAACATAAGACTTCCTACTGTAATAGAGTGCACAGATATTCCCAGGGATGTCTCCGAAATTCCAACACCCGAAATTGCCAGACATTACCGACACCTGGAAGCGATCAAGGATTCCATACCCCCCTATGACCATAGAATTCAAATCGGACTTTTGATTGGTCGGGACGTAATGGAGGTGCATCACGTGATGGAGCAAATTATTGGGGAGAAAAACATGCCATTCGCCCAGCGACTATCATTAGGATGGGTGATAATAGGGGAGGTGTGCTTAGATAATCTCCATAAACCTGGACAGCAAATCTACATAAACAGTAAGAAAACACATGTGTTGAAGAGCGGACGTACTACATTATTTGAACCATGTTCTAATGTCATGTCAATCACAGACTCTAATGGCCAGCTTGAAAAGCCGCATACAAAACCCTGTACTTACCTTGGAGACGAACTTTTCCGCACAGCTGAAGATGACAATTCCGCAGGGTTGTCAGTGGAAGATCGAGATTCTGCAAATCATGAACAAGGAGATGTACCGTGATGAGAAGGGTAACTGGTCTGCTCCCTTACCTTTTCGCCTCCCTCGTGAGCCTTTGCCAAACAACAGGTCTCAAGCAGAAAAGCGAGCAGACATGTTAGGGAAAAGTCTACTCAAGAACGCAACTAAGCGTGAGCACTTTGTGGTATTCATGAACAAAGTTCTGGAATCGGGAGCAGCAGAGGTCGCACCACCCCTAGAGCAAGGAAAGGAGGTCTGGTATCTACCGCTCTTTGGTGTATATCACCCTAAAAAGCCGGAAAAGATCCGTGGTGTCTTTGATTCCTCGGCGGAGTACAATGGGACATCTTTAAACAAGGCTCTCATTACTGGACCCAATTTTACGAACAACCTACAGGGGATCTTGATTCGTTTCCGAAAGGACAAGTGTGCCATCGTAGCTGACATTGAACAAATGTTTTACTCGTTCTTTGTCAAGGAGGATCACAGAGACTATTTAAGGTTCCTCTGGTACAAGAATAATGACCCTCATGCTCCACTTATCGAATACAGGATGAGAGCGCATGCCTTTGGAAATTCGGCCTCACCAGCGGTAGCCACATACGGCCTCAGGAAATGTGTTGAACGGACGAACGTCTATGGTGCTGATGTAGCAGATTTTGTGGTGCACAATTTTTATGTGGATGATGGGTTGACATCTGTACCTTCAGTGGAAGCAGCAGTGAGCTTATTGAAGAGGACCCAGACAGCTCTGAAGGAGGAAGGCAATCTTCGTCTCCACAAGATTGCATCCAACGAACCTGCAGTTATGAATGCCTTTCGTCGACAGGACTTATGCAAGGAGATGGTATCACTGAATTTGGAAAAGGACGCTCTGCCTGTTCACCAGAGCCTAGGCCTGTCTTGGGACTTACAGTTTGACACATTTACCTTCCAAATACAACTTGAGGAAAAGCCAGACACAAGACGAGGGTGCCTGTCGACACTGAATAGTATTTATGACCCTTTAGGGTTTGTTGCACCTATGTTAATCCAAGGAAAAATCCTTCTCCGAGATATAACAAATTCCATGAACTGGGATGAAGAATTAGAACCTGAAGCAGCCAGGAAGTGGAATGCGTGGAAAAGCTCATTACCCTTGTTGGAAAATGTAGTCGTTCCTCGTATGTATTTTGAAGATTCACTGAGCCACTTGAACCAGGTACAACTGCATGTCTTCTCAGATGCTTCAGAACTGGCAGTATCGGCAGTGGCATATCTCAAAACATGTTACAACGATAGAAACGACATTTCCTTTGTCTTGGGAAAGGCAAAATTGGCCCCCTCTAAGGGACACACGATACCACGTCTCGAGCTCTGTGCGGCACTCTTGGCTACGGAAATAGGGGAAATTGTAAAAGAGAATATACAAATCACTCTCAAGGATATTCATTATCACACTGATAGTAAGGTTGTATTAGGCTATCTTAACAACAAGACTCGGCGCTTTTACAACTATGTCAGCAATCGAGTAGAACGCATCCTTCTAGTGTCAGAACCAAGGCAATGGTTCTACGTATCGACACACAACAACCCGGCTGATCATGGGACCAGGGGGCTTGCATCTGCAGAAGAACTTCAAGACAAGTGGCTCAAGGGACCATCTTTCCTTTTAAAACCCGAACTTGATGCTGCGCAAGATTACCCACTTGTGTCGCCTGAGATGGACAAAGAAATCAGAGTGGAAGCAAAAAAGACCACTTGTGCACTTAAAGAAAGTTTTGTGACCACATTCGACAGATTCAGTAACTGGCACAACTTAGTGGGAGCAATAGGTCTTATTAAAGGGCTTGTTAAAGGACATTTGAAAGATAAAGCAAGCGCCGAACCAAATCACATAGGCCTAAGAGAGGAATCACATAAGCTTCTAATCAGATTGACTCAACAAAGCGCATACTCAGATGAAATATCCTCCCTGCGTGAGGGAACATTAGTCTCAAAGGCCAGCCTGCTTCATCGTCTGTCCCCATTTCTGAACGAAAACGGAATCCTGCGAGTAGGTGGGAGACTTTCTCAGAGCAGCCTGCCAGTCGAACAACGCAATCCAATGATCTTACCAGGAAAGGCTCATCTCACAACGCTACTAATATCTCACGTCCATGAACGTGTACAGCACCAAGGCAGACTCATCACAGAAGGAGCTTTACGCAATTGTGGTTACTGGGTGATTGGTGCTAAGAGAGCCATTTCTTCCTTCATCGACAAATGTGTGATTTGCTGCAAGCTGAGGGGGACTCTGGAATGCCAGAAGATGGCCGACTTATCTTCGGATCGCATAAGCCCAGGACCTCCATTCACATCAGTTGGGGTAGACACCTTTGGTCCCTGGATGATCGTTTCAAGAAAGACAAGAGGAGGAATGGCACACAGTAAAAGGTGGGCACTTCTCTTTACCTGTCTCGTCACAAGAGCCGTGCATATAGAAGTGGTCGAGGACATGAGCAGTTCTTCCGTGATAAATGCAGTTCGTCGACTGGTAGCGCTTAGAGGGGAGGTAAAGGAGTTCAGATCAGACAGGGGCACCAACTTTGTTGGAGCAGCAGACGAGATGAGAACAGATGTAATCAACGTAGAGGAAGGACCATTCAGAAGGCAGTTGAGCACTACTGGAACAAAGTGGATCTTCAACGCACCACACTCCTCCCATATGGGTGGAGTGTGGGAACGCATGATCGGCATAGCAAGAAGGATTCTGGACGCCATGTTCCTTAAACAAGGAAATATCATCACCCATGAAGTCCTCGTCACTGTAATGGCCGAAGTCTGTTCTATTATAAACTCGAGGCCAATCACAGCAATATCGTATGACTCAGACGCCCCAATGATTCTGAGTCCTTCCTTGCTTCTTACACAAAGAACTCCAGGAAGTCCAGCCATGTGTGAGGGTTTAGATATCAAGGACATTTACAGAGCACAGTGGCGACATGTTCAGGTCTTAGGAAACACGTTTTGGAAACAGTGGAGGGAACAATTCCTTCAAAATCTTCAAACCCGTCGAAAGTGGGCAGAGGAACGACCAAATATTAAGATAGGTGATGTGGTCCTACTCAAAGACTCTAGTTTAGCCAGATTCCAATGGCCGGTTGGCATCGTCGAAAGTGTTTTCCCCAGTGACACTGATGACCTTATTCGCAAGGTACAGATTCGCATAGTCAGGGACAGAAAACCAGTGGTACTTACCCGTCCAATAACCGAAATGGTGCTCTTGATGAACTAGTCTCATGAACAGAACTTGATGTCTTAGACTGTATATATGTTCTCAGTATAATCTTAGATTGTTTTGTATTGAGTATTCAAATGTTAGACACATTAGGTTATATCCATTTCTAGTCTATTTGATGTCTAGTCAGTTTGATGATATTAACACTACTCATCTTGTGATGTGACGAAATACTCAAATGTTTTATTTTTTGTAGTTCATAGTGTTAAGACTAACTTTTACTTGTGCTTCACAGGTTTTTTTTGGTTGTGTCTCTTGTTAGGTGTAGGTAACTTTGCACCTGTGTATATGTAAGCGATATCTTACAGATATCGAACGGGGAGTGTAGTGGAACGCATTCCGTTTTTATCAGCTCCGTTTTTGTCTGCATTCGTTAAGTCATTGTTTTTACACCACTGTATACTTTTATGTTAGGCAATCGAGCGCCAAATTTCTTCGAGCCTTGTCTCGATCGTTTTTGTCATATTTTCTGCACTTTGCGGCCCTAACAATGTAAGTAATAAGTAATAATAACTTATAGAAACTTTGTATATCAGTTTTGGCAGTGTAAGTGAATTTATTACAGTATTCTAACGATAAATAGTAATTGTTTACATCTGTGTATTCACATGTGTGCATTTTCAGTTTGCATTGATATCACACCTTTTGATGTTTATTTGTTTATTGTTTGTAGCTCTTACGGATTTAATAAACCGTTAACTTTCTGTTGGGAACTTGCAATTCTTTCGAAGTCGGCGACAGAACACTATATAATGATATAAGTGGTGAGAACAACATCATGATTTGAAATATTTTAGTCACTTTTTCATAGATGCACGTGTATAAGACCTTTGAGCAGTGAGGGATCTTTTTTGTTCCAGCACCTACTGCGCTACGGTCTCACCCGAAGAACCTGTCTCCACGTCCCACAGTGGGATTCAAATCCGCGACATTAAGATCAATGCCTTATTATTTATTGTCAATTTCTTAGCAAATATACGTATTCGTATATTAAATGTGTGTCTTAATATGGATTTAAGTTTTCATGATGCTTTCTTGGAGCGTAGACATAAGGCGCTTTAGTTCTATGCTTGGAGCACATGCATGCTTTGTAATTCTTGACAATAAAAAAAGTGTCTTTAATTTTTCCATCCTCTGCCCTTTTGTTATTACGGTACAATGTAAGTATATATTTGCTAGTCTTCATATTAAATTGCACAGTTTAGGCCTATAGATCTACATTTGAAACACAAGCACATGATGTTACTTATTTTTCTTTTAATAAAAATACGCATACCTAATAATAAACTATTAGGAATGTCCAAATTTTTTTTATTAAAAGAAAAATTAGTAACGTCAGGTGCCTGTGATTTTAAAATATCAAAAATGTTACACCCCCATTGTGACGTCATTATTTTTTAAAATGACGTACTTGTATTTCTTAATTGTTTTATCAAAAAGACTTTTTAGACAAAGCAATTGTAACTGCATGTATGAAATATCATTGACTGATATTCGTAATATTGATGTGAAGAATCCATCCTATAAAATTACGATTTTTCAGCGATAACTGGCTAGTAATAGTACGTCTTATAGCACCATTCTGTCTTATTCATGTGTTTTTATGGCTTAAAAATTAACACATTTTTAAAAAATTAACATAGTCCGCAAAATAACACCATCGTAATTTTTTGCATAAAGATTGCTTTTTAATCAATATTTCATCTGAGAAAATTTCAAAGTGGTGTTATGATGCGGACCTATTGAAAAATGCTTTTAAGTAGTTGATTTTTAACGATTTTCCCGGAAATACGCAATCAATGCATGTTTTGACCTCCATAAAATAGTCAAACGGGGACACATTCTAAAAATTTTGGTTTATATTTTAAGCTAACATATATCCAACATTCATTTCCACTATAATAAAGTTTTGATTCAGTTGAAACTTAAATCTATGG